ATAAGATAAACTTGAGATTAAGTTTATCTTGAACATTTAGAAAGATTGATTTTGTCTAATTAAGTAAAATTTAAGGTAGTTTTATTACTCTTGCAGGAATAGCAATTATAAAAGAAATTACTGCTCATATTAACATTACATTCCAGTGTTTAGACAACAAGGAACGAAAATGATAAATCTGAATTTTACAAAGCAGCCCATAATAGTAAAAGATAAACTAGAGATTGTTTTATTTGAAAACACTTGGAGGATATCCACATAACATAAAACAAAACATATAAGTTCATATTAGATTTTAATAAATTGTGAAAAATATAGTAAGTTTTACTTTCCCTAAAATTGATGTAATGATATAAAATTGATTTAGTATGAAAAAGGTATATTTTAAGAATGGATTCTTAATCTTTAAAAAACTGTAATTATTGCCTAATGATGAAGGCCACATATGCGTTTTAAGAACTGAAGTGATTTTGTATCATCAGACCAAAACAGAGGTAGTAAAACATATGTTAATAACTTTGAAGAACCATGTTTGGGAAAAACTTATCTCATTCTAAGTGGTGGATCTTAAATAGCATGTGCTTAGCTCCATTTCCATGTATTAGCTGCGACAGATAGACATACGTATAAATCACTTCATAAGGATTTATTAGCAGAAATATATCTATTACAGAACAATGGATTAACACATCAGGTTGGAAACACCAAAACAAATAGGGATCAAAATGAGAAATCTTTGTTTTCCTAAGCAGCCCATAATAGTAATAAGATAGAATACAGATTGTTTTTTTGGAAAAATAGAAAATAAGCAGCCCATAATAGTAATAAGATAAAATACAGATTGTTTTTTTAGAACAATAGGAAATAAACTAAATTAAAAATACAGATTAGGCTTCTTATTCTTTGAGAACGAGCAATTACATACATATTATGAAAACACTTAAACGACACCAGCCAAATGTATAACACTACCTGTATTTTTGTATTAGATTCATATATATTGTAAAGATTTGGGTCACTTAACGCAGATATATATTATATATATATTATATACTTCACACATATAGGAAAGTATGTTTGTTAAATCTAGAAAATCTCACAAAATATTTCAGATTTTAATAAAACCAGGTGGGTGGGTATTACCATTCAACTATATTATATTACTAAGTTTTTAAAATGATGTGTAAAGTTCAAGTGAATCATTACATTTGTTTTAAAGCATGAGGGTTTCAAATAAATACAAATGTGATGATTGAAGTGTTGTTTTTGACAGAACAGTAGTTTATTTTCTAAAAATGTGAATGAAGTAATGAAAACTCTTACTTTTCCTAAGCAGCCCATAATAATAGTAATATGAGAGAATACAGATTGTTTTTATTTGGAACAATACAAAATAAGCATCACATAATAGTAATAAGATAAAATACAGATTGTTTTTTACAAGAATAGGAAATAAACTAATTGAAAATACAGATTAGGCTTCTGATACAGAATGAGCACTTACATACATATTATGAAAACACTTAAACGACACCCACCAAATGTGTAATACTACCTATATATTTGTATTAGATTCATATATATTGTAAAGATTAAGGACACTTAAAGCAAATATATATTATATACTTCACACATATAGGAAAGTATGTTTGTTAAATTTAGAAAATCTCACAAAATATTTCAGATTTTAATAAAACCAGGTGGGTGGGTATTACCATTCAACTATATTATATTAAAATGATGTGTAAAGTTCAACTGAAGATTGAAGTGTTGTTTTTGACAGAACAGTTTATTTTCTAAAAATGTGAATGAAGTAATGTTGTGATTTCAACCTTTTAAGATTTTAATCGAAGCTTTAAGCAGTAAAGGGGTCTCTCTTCTTTGATATGCTTTTATTTCCCCTTGCTCTTGGCAAACCTGAAATGGTAGAAAGACCAATGATTAGATCCCAAGTTTTATTCACAGCCCACAATAATAATAATAATAATATTAATGAGATAAACTTCAGATTGGCTTTACCTTAAACACTGTAGAAAAAAATCATTTAGTATTAAAAAGGTAGTATAATTTCAGGTAGGTTCGTCATTCTTAAACAAAGAGAAATTACAATTCCATTCTTTAAACCCGCCAATTGATTTTAAGAATCGGAGCAGTTTCGTAACATAAGAATTTTAAGATCTAAGGAAAAATGATGTTAATACACGAGATGAAGAGAGAAACATATGATGCCTAAAGTATTAACACCAAAAACTTTGATGAAAATTTATTTCAAAACAATCGATTATATAGTTTTGTAAATATACACGATTAATATATAATAACACCTAAATAAATTTGAAGAACCTTCAGATCTAAAAGAATAAACACATAAAAGTTGAGAAATACTTATCTCATTCCAGGCGGCTGATTTCTCAGAGCATTTACCGAGCCTCTTTTCGATGTACGAGCTGCAACAGTTACACATAAGAAGAATCAGTTCATAAGGATTTATTATCAAAACTACATCTATAAGAATACAATGAATAAACAGATCAGATTGGGGAAAAAACCAAACAAACAAGAATATAGTAAAAAAAACATATCTGACTGAGACAGGAGAGAAGGTTGCTACGGTGTGGCTCATCAGCTCCGACCTTGCCTTCCTCCACCGCAAATCGACTGTGAAGGACGGCAAAACTTCTGTAGGAAGGGAAGTCGGATAGTGCGTGGAAGTGGTAGCGAGTAAAATGGCTGCCCGATTTGGAAGAAGGGAGAAGGGAGTGATCGGGTGTTAGAGAGATGGCTGCCCGATTTGGAAGAAGGTGTGTGAAGTGTGAAGCGATCTCATTCGGACAGGGAGCATATATATATAGGGAGGGTGTAGGGTTCTTTCTATTGGGTCTAGGTTGTTGGGCCAAAGTTGTTTGGGTTATAAGAACCTATTTGGTAACTTTTTGAGTTTGTTTGGCTAAAATCAGTTGAGTCCATTGATTCTGTTCAAAATTATAAATTTCTGGCTTACAAGATTATATTGGTTAATTTATAAAAAAATAAATATAAAAATATATTGTATTAATAAAATAAAGAAAAATGGGAGAATTTGACTTTTCACCATATTTCACTTCAAAATCATTTCACTTTGCACCCCATTTAGAAATGGTCCTTCACAAATGTTATATGATAGGGTGCAAAATTAATTTTTTTTTAAAATGGGGTGCAAAGTCCAATATCACCCAAAAAATGGAGTACAAAGTCAAATTCTCCCAAAAAAAAATATATGTGTAATAATAGCTAAAATGTCCCAACAAATTAACTTCAACTTTACTTTATCTTATTATTACACATTTCAGCGTGCAAAATAAAATATTTACGTGTTTGGTTAAAAAGTTGGATGATAAACTTGATAAGCCGAATAAAAGTGTTACTTAATTAGTGTATCGTATCATTTATATAGTATATAATTCAAAAATAGTCTTTACTTTATTGCTAAAATTTAGTCAGATGCTTAATTATTTTTTATAAAAATGATAGATTATTGTATCATATCATTTATATATTTTTTACTTTATCGCTAAATTAATCTAGATTTTTATATTTGTATAGTAAATGTGGATCGCTTGACAAGAAAGCGTGCACGAGTGGAGGAACATGTGTCCACTAAGTCTACTTCAGGGGAAGGTGATCAACATTAATTGTTCTTCTTCGTCTCCGCTTATTGATACTTTGGATATTTATGTATTTACAAAACAGATATTATTTTACTAAAGTTTTTATGCAAAACTCTAATCTTATAATTAGCATAGTTCTACGTTCTCAATTATATTAGTTTTTAAATAGTAGAATTTTGTGTAGTTGTTTCATATTCGGATATTGGAGATCCAACTTACAAGTGTGAGAAGTGTGGAGCAACATTTTGGTATGACGAAAGATTGAGAGCTGACTATAAATCCAAAAGTCCAAAGTATTCTCTTTGTTGTGTGAATGGTACAATAAAGCTCTCGCCAATGAAGACTCCTCCTCAAGTACTACTTGATCTACTATATGGTGATAGTGAAAAGAGTAAACACTTTTTAAAAAACATACGATCATATAATAGTATGTTTTCTTTCACTTCGATGGGAGGAAAGATTGATGTTGAGCACAACAGAGGTAAATCTCCACCGGTTTTCAAATTGCATGGACAAAACTACCATTTGATTGGAAGTCTTATGCCTGAGGAGAATGAAGTACCTAAATTTGCACAATTGTACATCTACGATACTGCAAATGAGGTGGTTAATCGAATCAGATCTGTGAGGTTAGTGTATGCCATTAATCTTACTGTAATGCAATACTCTTTAAATCCCTTTTATGAATAAGTGCATTGAATATATGAGTTTCTTATTTAATAGGGATGTAGATGAGGAGAACACCCTCCACACCGACATCGTTGGCGATTTGAAAGAAATGTTGGACAAAAATAATGCATTCGTTAAGTCGTTTAGAATGGTTGGCCAGAAAGTAACTGATGGAGAGCTAAATATTCGGTTGAAACTCATTGGCAAGAGAGTTTCTGATGCTCGAATGTATAACCTTCCTTCAACATCCGAAGTGGCTGCGTTAATAGTAGGTGACTTTGACGAAAATTTGGGTAACAGAGATATTGTGCTACAAGCACACTCTGGATCATTGCAACGTATAAATGAACTGCATCCGGCTTATCTACCTTTGCAATATCCTCTTCTATTTCCTTATGGAGAAGACGGTTATCGAGAAGACATCCCATTTTCTGATTTGAAGAAACCCACACCAAATGGAAGAACTACTATCAGTGTTAGGGAATATTTTGCATTTCGCTTGCATGAAAGAGATCAAGAATCCCCAAGCATACTCTTCTCAAAGAGACTCTTTCAACAATTTGTTGTGGATGCGTACACAATGGTAGAAGCCGGGAGGTTAAGGTATGTTAGGACGCATCAACAAGAACTTCGGTGTGAGTTGTATAAAGGTCTTTCGGATGCAATATTGCGGGGAGAAACAGACTCACGTGCTCAAGGGAAGCGAGTTATATTGCCTTCTACATTCACCGGAGGGGCACGATATATGATCCAGAATTATCAAGACGCCATGGCGATATGTCGTTGGGCTGGATATCCGGATTTGTTCATAACGTTTACTTGCAATCCCAAATGGTCTGAAATTAGCCGCTTTCTTGAAGAAAGGAGACTCAAACCAGAAGACCGGGCTGATATTATTTGCCGAATTTTCAAAGTCAAGTTGGACAGATTGATCAAAGATCTTCGAGATAATAAAATATTTGGTCGTGTTAAAGCAGGTAATATACTACAACATGTCTATGCTTACATATTTTATGTGTAATTCTTTTATTCTGATAACTGCAGTTTTTATTTATGTATAAGTAATGACGATTGTGGAATCTTTTGTAGTCATATACACCATAGAGTTTCAGAAAAGAGGTCTGCCACACGCTCATATATTGCTGTTCATAGCTAGAGATGACCCATCTCCGTTTGCAAATGACATCGACCGTATCATTTCAGCTGAAATTCCAGATAAACATGTGGATCCTGTTTATTATGATGCGGTAGCCGATTTAATGATGCACGGACCGTGTGGACCATCTAGGCCAAATTCTCCGTGTATGTCAAATGGTCGTTGCACTAAACATTTTCCAAAGAAATTTAATGAGGAGATGACGATTGATGATGAAGGGTACCCGATCTACAGGCGAAGGGATGATGGAAGGACAATTACAAAAGGGGAGGTCGAGCTAACCAATCAATTTGTAGTGCCACATAATCATTATCTATTGCTTAAATATGGTGCTCATATGAATGTGGAGTGGTGCAATCAATCCCGCTCAATAAAGTACCTATTTAAGTATGTCAACAAAGGGAACGATCGCGTGACAGCTGCATTTTACCAGAATCCAAGTTCTGATGAGTCCAATCAACCTGTTGATGAGATTAAGATGTACTATGACTGAAGATATGTATCCCCTTGTGAGGCAGCATGGAGAATTCTTGGTTTTGAGATTCAATATAGAAATCCTGCGGTTGAACGATTAAGCTTGCATTTACCTGGTGAGCAGAATGTATATTTCTCAGACACTTCATCGTTGCAGAACGTGGTAGATCAACAAACTATGAAGGAGAGCATGTTTGTGGCTTGGTTCAAAGCAAACAAGAAATATCCTGAAGCAAAAAACTTAACTTATGTTGAGTTCCCTCAGAAGTTCGTATGGCATAAACAGACAAAGGAGTGGAAAGAAAGAAAGAAAGGATTTTCTATCGGGCGAATAAATTATGTACCTCCTGGTAGCGGGGAAATATTTTACATGCGATGCCTTATGAATGTTGTTCGTGGAGCAACGTGCCACGATGATTTGAAAATAGTCGATGATATACAGTTTTTGAGTTATCGTGATGCATGTTACGCGCGAGGGTTATTAGACGATGATAGGGAATATATAGATGCAATTGAGGAGTCAAGTCACTCAGCCTCTGCATTCTTACTCAGATATCTTTTCACAACAATTTTGACATCGAATTGTGCGTCACGTCCAGAGCACATTTGGGAGAAATGCTGGACATTCTTTTCAGATGACATTCTTTACAAACAACGCCGTTTGTTGCAATATGAAGGTATTACATATACTAATACATTCATTTGAAATATTAGCGTTTTATATTGTTCATTGTAACGTACATAATATTGTTTCCTCATTCGTGTAGCCTTGACACTTGATGATGATGAGATTAAGAATCTGGCACTTATTGAGATTGAGCGATTGCTGCAAAGTTATGGAAGGAGTTTAAAGGATTATTACCCTATGCCACTTCCGCGTGGGGATACAACTCAAAGTAACGTCAACAGATTGATATGTGAAGAGTTGCAATATAACAAGAACGAAATGAAAGGACTGCATGATAGTCTCATATGCAACTTAACAGCAGAACAACGCGAGGTTTATGATATTGTAATTGATGCAGTCCACACCAATACTGGAGGTGTTTTCTTTGTATATGGTTACGGTGGAACTGGGAAAACCTTTGTGTGGAAAACTTTATCGGCGACTTTGCGTTGTAAAGGTGAGATTGTACTTAATGTAGCATCAAGTGGGATAGCTTCTTTGTTATTGCCTGGTGGAAGAACCGCTCACTCTAGGTTTGCTATACCCATCAACATAAATGAAGACTCAACGTGCAATATAAAACAAGGCAGTCAATTGGCAGGACTTATTGTGAAGTGCAAACTTATCATATGGGATGAAGCCCCAATGGTGCATAAACATTGTTTTGAAGCACTTGATAAGACTATGCGTGATATATTGCAATTGACGAATCCTGTGAGTTTGAGCACTCCTTTTGGAGGAAAAACCATTGTTTTTGGGGGTGATTTTCGTCAAATATTGCCCGTGATTCCCAAAGGATCTCGGAATGATATCGTTTCAGCTACTATCAATGCATCTTATCTATGGAGGTGTTGTAAGGTACTGCGATTGACGAAAAATATGAGGCTTCAAAGTGCGAACACCCCGGATGAAATTGAAGGGATTAGAAAGTTTGCTGAATGGATTGCAAGAATCGGTGATGGTGCAATTGGTGATTCATCAAATGGGTTTGCAACAATTGAGATACCAGATGATATATTGCTGAAATATGAAAGTGATCCAATAGCAACCATAGTCCGAAGTACATACCCCGGTTTTCCCGATATTGATGATGACCCGACATATTTGGAAAAACGGGCTATACTGGCTCCAACTCTAGACGTTGTTGATTCCATGAATCAGTACATGATGTCGTTGAATACCCGAGAATCAAAAACCTGTTTTAGTTCAGACAGTGCTTGCCAGTCCGACACAAATGCAGATGTTTTAGCTGATGTCTATACCCCTGAATTTCTAAATAGTCTTAAGTGTTCTGGAGTTCCAAATCACGAGTTGACTTTGAAGGTTGGCACTCCAGTTATGTTACTGCGCAATATAGATCATTCAATGGGGCTTTGCAATGGGACAAGATTGGTTATCACAAGACTCGGATGTCATGTGTTGGAAGCTAAAATATTGTCTGGGCATACTGCAGGGCAAAAAGTGTTGATCCCAAGGTTGAATTTGACTCCATCAGATGTTAGAATGCCTTTCAAGTTTCAGCGAAGACAATTCCCTATAATGGTTTCATACGCAATGACAATCAACAAAAGTCAAGGACAATCGTTATCTCATGTTGGGTTGTTCCTAAAAAACCCGGTTTTCTGTCATGGTCAACTCTACGTTGCTATTTCCCGAGTTACCAGACGTGAAGGATTGAAAATATTGATATGCAACCCCGATGGTGCCTCCAGTAACTCAACGTTAAATGTTGTGTACCCAGAAGTTTTTCAAAACGTTTAGTGTTTTTTTATATTACAATGTTCTTACTTCGTTAATTCAACAACTTATTAACATATCTCTCATATCATTTATTTTATTAATCTTATTATATTAAAAGTGTGTGCCTTGATATTTTTATATGTATATCTCATAACCAAAAACCAAGAAAATATTGTCCCGTGCATCGCACGGGTGCGATACTAGTGTCAAATAAATCCGTATCAAATACTCTCTCCATCCTCTTTTAAATGTCCCGGAAGAGGGTGACATGAGTTTTAAGAAAAGTGGGTTTGTGTGGTTGATAGTAATTGATAAAGTAAGATTAAACTAAGAATGATTTTGAGTCACACAAACTTTACCAAATAATTAAGATATGAGACAATTAAATAGGGACATCCCAATATAGTAAAACGGGACATTTAAAAGGGGACGGAGGGAGTACGTAGTAGTAAATTTGAGTTTTTTTTGCAAATAACATACAAGATTGATAGAGGGATATATTTGACAGTTTTTTTAAAGAAAATAAAATTTAACTACAATAAAGTTATGATTTCTCATAATTAGAGTTTTTTAAAGGTCTCATAAGTAGAGTATTATTCATTATAATTAAAATTTGACAAAGACTTAGTGTAACGCCATTAACGGTTTTAAAATTGTGGAGGTATTGGCCCATTTAGGCCTTGGCAGCCCTCTCCCCTTGTTGGGCCCATTTGTTGTGTCCTTATGTCTGGCCCATGTTGTTCTCGCTAGACCTTGTTCTTGAACCTCCTCTAGGGTCCCCCCTTGACCCTCGACACTTAAGCTTCTTTTCTCCTCTTGAGACTTGAGATCTTCGGTTTAGTTAGAGACTAAGGTTAGAGAGAGATAGAGAGAGATAGAGAGAGATTGTTCCAACAGTGCTCTCTTCTCCTTTGGTCCCTTCGTGTTTACTCTTTATGTGCTTCTTCTCTTTTCTTTGTGGTGTGCATTGATATGGCTGGCCTGGCCTGAGTGTGACTCTCCCGTTCCTTGGTAATGCTTGGTGTGAGCTGTTGAGTGTGGCCTGAGCTGGAGAACTGAAAACCTGACAGTGGTATCAGAGCCAGAACTCCAATCGTCCTCGTTTGCAGGCCGAGAGCTCTTTCTCCGCCATCCGCTGGGAAGACCTCAGTCGTTTGGAAAGTCAAGAAATCTTTCCTCAAGTTATCGCTCAGGTAAATTAGCGATAAAGACTCTAGGTAGCTAGGTGTCCCGGTATTGTGTGAATATGTGTTTTTTTACTTGTTCCATCCCCTTCCATGTGTTGCTTGTGTTGTCGACCTGCTTAAGATGGCTGTGAGCTATGTCTGATTGCTCCACGGTGCGTACCGTTCATCTCAGTGTGTGAATCTGTGGTTGCATGTGAAGTTTGGTCCATGCATGTTATAGATCTATGGTACCTTACGATCTTATGCATATTTGGGCTTGAGGGCTAAACATGTAATTGGTGATTCTGTTTTCTTCAAGTGTTTCTTTGCTAGTTCCCTTTCTTGCTGTTGTCTGGTAACCTTGTGACCTAGAAAATTTACTTGTGCTACTCGACACCTGATGTTAGGACTAAAAAGGTTACCTGCCACCCAGTAGCCTTCAAATCTGCGTGGCCCGTCAGCCTGAAGCCAGGCACACTAGTGAACCCTAGTTCCCTGTGGCTCTATGTTTACTATCAAGAATGTGAGGCATGTCCTTGATTTGTGTCATTAATTGTAATATGTTGCTGCCTTGGAAGGTAGTGGATTAGAGGGAAAGTGGGGAAATGGTTGTATGAAGATTTTGAAAAATTCCCAGGTGTTGTTTAAAGTTGAAAAGGTGAATAACCTCTATGTATGTCATGTTAAACCTTATACTAACTCTGTGAATGGTGTATGTGCTGATAAGACCTTGTTGTGGCATAATAAGCTAGGACATATGAGCAATAAGGGTTTAGATATGATGCATAAGCATGGTAATTTTAGAAAAGACTTTGCGAATCCTTTGACTTTCTGTGAATCGTGTGTGCTTGGTATACAACAGAGTACAATTTCCTTTATCCCCTTATCCTAATGTGTCTAAAAGCTCTTCTGTGCTTGAGTATGTGCATGTTTACGTTGATGTTTGAGGGCTTGCTAGTGTTCCTACACATGTGGGTAAAAGGTATTTCTTGTCCTTAATTGATGATTTTTCTAGGAAAGTTTGGTCCTGCCTTCTAGAACATAAGTGATGTTTTTGAGAATTTTAAGGCCTGGAAATTACTTGTAGAAAATCAAACACGAAAGAATGTGAAAACCCTTTAGGACTCACAATGGCCTTGAGTTATGCAACAAAGAACTGGACATGATGTGTGCCTCTTC